CCCCAAAACCCCAAAACCCCAAAACCCCAAAACCCCAAAACCCCAATTATTAGCATCAAAGCTGAAAATGGAGATCTCCTGCTTTAATTACAAACATGTCAGGACAAACTACTTACTGAAACCTCTTAAACTTATCTCCTTTTAGTTCAATATATTCTCTCTTCAGCGTCTCTGCATCTTTCTCCTCCTCATCATCATCATCTCGGTTCTCTCTCAATGTCCTCAGTCCTCTAATCCCTGTTCCATAAATCTTAACTCCATTTCTAACTTCTATAGCATTCTGCTGCTCTTCGACTTCAAAATTAGTGATTAACAGGGTTTCTCCTGTACCTAACAAGTAAAAACATGGCATATACCTTCCTTGGACTCATCTCCAATACGTACGTATCTCTTGGCCTTCTTGGTCTTCTTACCAGCAGCTTGAATGATATCGGCTATTCAATGTGGTTACAGAGGGTTTCTTAAGAATTTAGCCTAACTAATTATTGTGCAACTTATGGAGCTTAAATTATGCCCTAAACCATTCAGATTTAACCCAGCTGCGATTCCAGGCAAACATTCGGCACACTTAAGTATCAACTATCCAGAGGGTGCATAAGATTAATCAGACCTTTTTGAAGCCTTTATATAGTGGGACTTACAACTTCTAATGATTTTCTTGGGAAGACGGAATCCTACTTCTATGCAATGTTTTAGTGATGAGGTTACCTTCTCCAGCATCTATATGGTAGTTAGAGGGTTTGTATGGGGGTAGGTAGTTAGCTTATGGAATCTAAAATGAGAGATTTGATTGATTCTTACTCTCTAAATATTGCTCTTCATCATCCTCTTCGTCATCTTCGTCAGAGGAATCATCCTGCGGTTCTTCAATTTCTTGCTGTGGATTTTCTTGTTGAGGCTCTTCTTGATATGATTCTTCTTGTTGAATTTCTTTCTCTATTTCAACTTTTTGAGGTTTATTTCTTGTTTGTTCTTGTCTCATTTTCTCCACTATGGTTAGGTTAAAAGGGAACATATAATAACATACATTCTTCTTGATTTAAAGTCTCCATTATCTTTATATTTCAAAAATAATAAGATTATCTGGGGTTTTGGGGTTTTGGGGTTTTGGGGTTTTGGGGTTTTGGGCTGAAATTTCCATGGCTGTGCTTAGTTT